TGAAAACCAAGAATAAAACACGGTTTACATCGAAACCGCAGTTTCAGAACGCTTTCTCAGCAGTGGTCATGATCACTCTGTTTCCTATATGTTACTTATCACAATTGAAACACTTAGATATGAACGCGATTGTCTTAGGAAAGCACGCGAGGCTCCCCTCATTCAGAACGCTAAAACCATTGGGCGTCTGGGAATTAAAAAACGCAACGAACTATATTCATTATGTAATCCTTACCATGTACATCTGTGACTTCAGTTTATTATTTTACAGTAGTATATATTCTGTATATTCTTCATGTTTTTCCCAAATAAACCTGATGAAGAGTGGTATTGGCCAGTCGAAATATTGTATACCTTAGCCTTTTTCACATTGTTTGATCAGTCTTTGCAGAAGTCGTTTTGACTTTGATTCTATGAAAGAAATTTTCAGCGTCAATTCCGAGCGCGCGAATGGCAAAAGACAGCAAAAGAAAATCCTGTTGTAAAAAATTTCGATGAGCTGGGCCGAGTCAAAGGAGGCGGGACCGGAGGCGGGTCAGGGGCGTGGTAAATTAGTGTCCTACGATTGGCTCACAAAATCGAGCCCAGGTCTACCCGTGTCGATCGGATTAAAGGTAAGCCGCCATCTTGTATATTCGAAGTCACATAAGTTTGCCAATTTTCAAAGGGCGCAAGGCTACTGGTAAAGACAAAACAAAAAAACTAGTTGAGAATGTGTTCACGACTTATCTTGAAGATCGTAGGGAACAAAGAGAGACAACTTACATCTACCGAACCTCGATTCATTCGTTATATGAAGATACAACAATACAGTGTCCCACGGCGCTGCCTCCGATCCAGGTAACAAGAAATAAGCAATTACATATTCTTACAATATTTGTGAGTGTATCTTTAGACACAGGATTCCTAGCTTCTGCCGTTAAACATTTGTGAGTGGTATTATCATTTAATGCACGCAAGGCTATCGCACAATACCTGACAATACCAAAATGATTAACAAGGTAGCGACGGCCATTTCAACAATTTACAACGAAATGACTGCGTGTGGAGTTTAGCTGAGTTTTGAGGTCGTTCGAGTTCATAAGTTAAGCTTAATAATTATTATTTATACCGGCCGGTTGGGGTACAAATGATACAGGACGAACTGGAACTTAAATGTCGCAGTTTTGTATTAGAAATTACCGTAGTTCAGGAGCTAGTTTCATTTAATATAACATCAATTCAGTTTGGGGTTCTTCAACTCCAACAAAAGCTGTTTAAAACTTTTCCCAAGACTTAAGATAGAAGTTTTGTTCAAAAGTTAATCAGCAAGCTTTTCAAATTATTTGGCATCATATTTATTCATGCTCAATAGGCCATTTTTTATCATTGCAGAAATTATGAAGCATTGATGAGTTTGCAGGAGATACACGCCCAGGAAGACATATGCCTCTTTCAACTGAAATCCAACCCTCTCACCCATGAGTGGTGGAAGTGGGTTTAAGCAAGAAATTTAAAGCCCTATTTGATGATACACTAACCTTAGGGAGCAGGTGGTTAAATTAACTATAACTTTAATTCTCACAACAAACAGTTTTTCCAGTTTTAAAGTTGCTGTTTGCCTACATGTAAGCCAGTCAGAGACCGAAATGTTTTTCAACTGTTTCTTAGAAGATTATGACCTATCACTCTTTTTTCTTAATCGCCCAAGCAAAACAAATGACAGGATGGCACATTCATCATTGTTTAGCTGCACCTTTTCAGTGTGCAAAGAAAGTGGTGTCTGATTGGTGAATTCTGTTTTTAACTTGCTCGATGGGCAACTGATGTTTTTTGAGGAATTTGAATAACAGAAGAACTGTGAAATCAATTCTGCATGTCAAAAATCTTTTGGGGCTAGTTCAAATGACGTCTGAGCTAGTAAATGCTAGCTTCAGCTCGCCCGAATGGCAAGCTGTAAAAATGATTTTCTTTGCACCCTGCTTTTTACAAATAAATTAAAGGAAATTTTTTGTATTCAACTGGTACACAAAGCAACATTGACACATGCCATTTCTAAGCACTAAGAATAAAAGCAAAAGAAGCTTTGGCAAGTGTAGCGTCTTTTCATTTCCCATTCATCAAATAAATTATCATGTATTAACAGCATTACCCAGTATAATATGTGATGTATGAGGGTTCCCAGTCCCCCGCAGCATTTTTAAAGATCTCATAACAGAACTCGCTGCGTATTAACCGCTCAAGAAGGCGGAGGTGTCATGAAGGGACCACCTTCACTCGTGTCGCTGGGCTAAAAACAAAAAGGCTACCTTGTATTAATAATAATAATAATAATAAACTTTATTTTAAAAACATAACAGTTAACCCTGATAAGTCTATGGCCATCTATAATAAATTGCAGACTTTTTCTGTGACAGGAAAGGAGAATAAAATTGTTGTTACTAGGCTAAGTACAGTTTACTATTGGAATAAAAAGTTACAATGACTATATGCAACAAAGATTAAAACTATGATAAATGGCTATATGTGATTAACATTATTAAAGTCTATTTAAAAGGGACTGAACACCCCCTTTTTTGTTATATCTACTGGAATACCATTCCGTAGGCTATGCATGCTCCATCTGTCTCCTGTTTGTATAGTTAACACACAAGATTATGTGGGTCCTTTGTCTATTTTGTATGCAGATCTGCTTTTGTTGTGAGGATGGCCATCAATGTATGAGTTATCCCCATTGCTTCTCTGGTATATATTACAACAATGTTGTTGGTATGTTGTCAGTATGTTTTTAGTAATAAATAGTTTGAACAGTCTTTTCAACATTGCTTCTTTCTAACGTCTGCATCGGTTGCTATTCAGTTGATGTTTTCAGATGGTCAGCAGCAAGAAACTCAGCTCTAATATCATGTTATTGATTTAATCCTTAAGTTAGAGAACAGCTCCCATTATTTGAGCGGTAGTAATGCTGTAAAATATTTCAATTTTGCAAAGGTATCTTTCTGCTGATTAAAAGACATCAACATGCTTTTCAATGATGTTGTGATGCAATGGGAACAGGACAGAGACAGTATTTGAGATACTGATAACCATTTTGCTTTTGAAGGATGATAACATTCTTGTACGACTTGGTGATGTTCTCTCTATAAAGTGCTCTCCAGAGTAATGGGAGAAGCCAGAGATGATTACTCACTTAAACCTGTGCCATTATCATAAAACTCAACAGTTGACTTGTCAGTTGCATAGGGTTGAAGATCGTTTTGTAAATCCACGAACAATACCACTCCAAGACCGAACCTTACGAAATGCCATTGATAATGACTTGGAAAGTGACAATGATCAATTAAACTGATTTCCAGCAAGGAAAGATTAATTTATCCATGTTGAATTCACACAACAAAGCTGGTATGTTATTCAAGACATACTGGAATTGCAGAATATGAAGAAGATCATCACAGTTATAGATGCAAGTTTTTCACTGTACCTAACCATTCATATAGTCATTCTCCAATTTCTACAGCATCTGGTCAATTTGCCTGACAATTTCAGTTTTGGTTGTGGGTGTCTTGGGGAAAGACCAATGCAGTTTATAATGGAGGTTTTGATTTTCAGTATGTATATGCTCCTCGAATAATTTTGAATCTGTCGTAAACACGGAAAATCTGTTGGCTAGCTTCCAAGCTGATGATTAACAGAACTGTTATAGTAGCATACATACTTGATTAATCTTGGTAATGATGACGACGTACCTGGAGCACCAGCCTCTTTTGCAGTAATACCATTGGCACCGGTCACTTTGAACAAAGGCATAGACTTCACTTTATATTGAAGCTGTTTACATGGGGATAAGCAGTTAAGGTTTAATATTTATCTGACAGTTGTTCCTGGAATCAGCAGTCGAGGACAATGAATGTGAAATATTGTTTATGGAATCTATTCAGCAGTTCAGCACAGTCTATCCAGAAGCTCATGTGTGGTTGTTGAAGAAATAGATGTTCTAATTAAGTCTAACTATGCAATTATCTCTAAAGTTTTTTATCATCACATGTTTGACTTCAATAACTTGTTGATTATCTCTAAATTTACCATACCTAGCTAATACACTACTACTAAGGAAAAACGAAAAAAGCTTTTCCTTAAAAATACTGAGCTAACAGAATGCACATACAATCAAGGACTGGGTCCGGATGCTATTAACCCTTTCACTTGCAAAGTGAACAATGTAGTCTCGTAAGATAGTTAATAATTGTTATTTACCTTTTGATTTTGAAGAAAAATCCTACAATGTATGGTGTGACTATTCAAGTAAAGGCTCTTTGTAAGTAGTACTATTTTAAATACCATTTTACAAAATGAAGCTTAGAATTTTATTTCAATAGTCCATTTTACAGTTAAAGGTGAAAACAAGGTTGGAGTTGACCTTGTAATGTATTCATACGACCCTTCCTGCTTGATTAGGTAAATTATGTTGTTTTTATGCTAACTAATATTTTTAAGCATAATTTCCATAAGAAAAGGAAGCAGGTTTGTATCAAAAAAGGTCAACCTCAACTTTGCATTCACTCAAGGCTAGGATACTAAGCCCATAACTGTAACAGGGTATATGTGGACTTTGCCTACCTTTGGCAGTGAAATTGTGAAACTAAATGCCATTAGCATGTAATTGAAGAAATGCCAAGAGCAATGAAGTTTGATAACTACATGTACAGTAAAAACCAGCATGTAAAAGTAGTGGTTTACTTAAAAAACCTACGACCATTTTAATGACCAATAATACAAGAACCTACATGTTTTAAACCAAGAAAGATCAAGGAGGCTCTTTTATAACTATGATAAACTATAGAGATACACTAATGGATTTTAGAACTGAAGCAAAAACAGTATTTATTTTTCTGCTGCCTAAAGACTATAATATTATATCTTTCATAGAGAAAAATAGACCTAATTTAACCAGAATTTACTAAGTATGCATCAATATTAATTGCCAATAACTATCCAAAGTACAAGAACCTATTTTGCCATACAGTCAACTTCCTTTAAAGTGGACACTATAAGGAGCTTGAGTTAGTGTCTTCATTAGTGATAGTCCGTAATAGCGGAAGTTTATTTCAGTCAAACGTCTGTGATTTATTTTTGCTTGGTATTTAGCTGCCGTCCATATTATCAGGGTGTTCTTTATAGCAAGATGTCCACAAGGTGAGAGTTCACTGAATTTCAAAAAGTAGGTTCATCAAACATGCAGGTTTTTACTGTAAGTTAAATAAAGTAAGGAGACTTAACAAAACAATATTGCTAAAATGAAATAATCTCAAGAACTTACTTTTTGCTGAAAACTGGCTTTTGGAGTAATATCCCTTTCAACACAAGCCCTAATCCCAATCTCAACTTAAGAGCCTTTTTATTTGTTAGGCGTGGCCACATAGTAGACCCTTGTCCACACAGGTTTATTACAGCAACGGCCAGTTCATTTGTTATGCATGGCCACAAAGGCCCTCAGCCACACAGGCTAATTACAGTATAACGGCACTTTTATTTGTTATGCATGGCCACAAAGGCCCTCAGCCACACAGGCTGATTACAGCATAACGGTACTTTTATTTGTTATGCATGGCCACAAAGGCCCTCAGCCACACAGGCTGATTACAGCATAATGGCACTTTTATTTGTTATGCATGGCCACAAAGGCCCTCAGCCACACAGGCTGATTACAGCATAACGGCACTTTTATTTGTTATGCATGGCCACAAAGGCCCTCAGCCACACAGGCTGATTACAGCATAACGGCACTTTTATTTGTTATGCATGGCCACAAAGGCCCTCAGCCACACAGGCTGATTACAGCA